TATGAATGCACACAGTGACCCTGAACTGTATACTTAAAAATGGTTATGGTAGTAAATTTTGCAATTTTTTTTACCACAACGTAAGTGAATTAATTGAAACCTTACTTTAAAATTTTTACTTTTAGAAATCTGATGTTCCATTGTATCCCCATTTTCCATTTTCAACATGATTTTAAAAAATATTGTGTGTGTGTGTGTGTGTGTGTGTGTGTGTGTGTGTGTGTGACCACTTACTTATCATGCAATCAATCACAGCTTTTCTTAAGATTTTTACTATTATGGGTCTGGAGAGATGGCTCAGTGGTTAAGAGCACTGACTACTCTCGTAGAAGACCCAGGTTTGGTTCCCAGATTCCACATAGTGGCTAACAACCACCCACAACTTCAGTTCTTGGGGCTCTAATGCCCTCTTCTGGCCTCCAGGCACGGGTGCATTTTTATACATGCAGGTAAAGCACTCATACGCATAAAAATAAAATTTAAAAATTAAAAAAAAAGAATTCTGCTTTTTTTCCAGTTACAACAACCACTAAAACACAGCAATTCAAAATGACAAATGAAAAGAAGTATATTCCATTATAAATCTCTGAAACAAGATTCATACAAACATTACTTCTTACTTTATTTCTTTGTATTTGATGGAGTGCATTCAAGTCTGTGGACTCTGATATCCCACCATGTATGACCAGGATTTCATTGTTAATAATTGCACCGATCGGGAGCCAGGTATAGACTTCTTCCAAGGTTTGCAAAATTTCTTTCCCATGTAGCTGTAAGTAAGAGCTTGAGTAAGTTTTATTTTACTGATAGGCCCAGTTTACTGACTAATCTCAATATATGGGCAAAAAAAACAAGTTTTCATGCCAGCTAAAGGAAGCCAGTGGGTAGTCATCAATCAACTAGCATTCATTTAGCATGGTACTTTTTTATTCTGTATTTTTGATACTTTGACATTTGGGCCTTTAAATTACTGTTTTCATTTGCAAAGAAACCATTTCAAACCTCACACTGCCAAATAATTCTTTTATTGGATTCTCACTCAGGGCCATTTTTCTGCTGAACAATCAATCCAAGACAAGATAGTAGACAACTAAGGACAACTTTTATGACCCAAAGCAGGCTGTCATTCTTCTAAATACTCAACCTTAAACTTGATTATACTGAGGGGCTTTGTCTTTTCCAAACCATGAAAACCACAATAAATGCTGTTGTCCATGTTTTCCCATGGCTCTGTCTGCCTCTGGCTAGCTCTGGTACTTCCCCATGTGGCATCCCCAGTGTGGTATGCCTTCCGTGTTACAGAACTGAATAATAGCACCTTCCTTCATTTCAACCATTTCTCCAATTGTCTGTTGTACTGTATCTGAGTGAAACAAATCCTGGGTGGGGCATCTTTAAAGCAATGTAATGTGTTCACATCTATGCTGAAACTCACACAGAAGTCATAGAGAAAAAGAAAATGTAAGACTCTACCATGGTGAGGGATTCTGCTGTGCTTATATCTGATTGGCATGGGCTCTGACTAGCTAGCCAATCACCTTTCCTAAAGCAACAAACTAGTCTTTATCGATTCTTTTTCCACAGTAAAAACAATGAAAAAATAAATATGAGTCTTACCTTGTATTTCTGTAAAATTTCTCTTGTGAAGCCATACCTGGAAATGGATTTTAAACTGTTAATTACTGATAACTTCTACTTACATGAGTCATGCAGAAGGAAAGCCACTGACATCTCACTAACACTAAGAACTCAAGAAACTAGACTTCAGTTGGAACTATTACTTTGCAGAGTCTTGTGGGGCATAATGAGAAAGAAGAAAAGCAACCAACGATATCATCCCTACTCTCAGGAGCTTAGAGTATAATTGGAGAAAGAAAATAGATTTTCAGGAAACAATTGTAAGCCAATGTAACCAACATGTGCCCCAGGCTATGGAAAGACTGCAAGTCTTTTGAGAGGCATGTTATAGCAGTTGGAGGAAGATGTGTGGAGATTTTTCATTTAGATAGCATTCCTTGGACATCTTATCTCTTATGGTGAATGATTGGGGACAAAAAGAGCAAAAGAAGCCAAAGAGAATCCTAAAAACATGTTGGCTCCTCATGCTTTCTATGACATAAGTCATGTAATATAGTGAATGGTGTTGAAGGTTTTAATAGAAAGTATCAGGAATGTTAATGCCTAAATAGCAATAGCTAAGGGAGACATTTCTCATTAATTTTCCTTACTTTAAGATAATACCGCATACCTACACTTTTTGGGGACAAGGTCTCACTATGTAGTGTAGCTGACCTGGAATTCACTATGTAGACTAGACTGGCCTTGAGCTCACAGAGATTTGCTTGCCTCTGCCTCCTGAGTTCTGGGATTAAAGGCGTGCATCACCACACCTGGCTAATACTGTGTACTCTTAATACTCAACCCTTGTTTTCATACAACTCACATCATGTCAGGTTCCTGTGGGACAACATTATAATTTTCAAGATGAATTCCTTCCCTGCATTTACCAAAGGTGCCCACATTGTTAGACCAATCTATATCTTGTTCTTACCTTTCTCACCCTCTGTGGAACAGTAAATACAATGAGCTATATCTTCCTTTCAGAAAAATTCTTCTCTTAGATTTTGTGACCATAAACTCTCTTGGATTTTTACCTACCTTTCCCGTTATTCTGAAACTCCTTCAAAAGTTCTCGTCTACCTAAGCTTTTAGTGTTGGCATTCCTTCAGACTCTGTCCTAGATGATCTAGTCCCTTTACTGTCTCTCTTAGCAATCTCATCCCCTCATGGCCAGGGCTTCAGGTATTATCTTGTATCAACATCGCAGAGTGACATTCTAGTCTACACTTCTTTTCGATCTCTGGACCCATACTCAACAGCACCTCAAATCAGCTGACCTCAGACTGAATCTATTTGCCTTTAGAATGATGCTGGTATACTCCTAAACTCAAGCCAGCTCAGCCTTGCTTCCTTCTTCTTTCAAGTCCCCCATATCAAGTTACTGAGCCTTAAACTGTTATTGGCCTAAAGTCTTCCTGAATCCCTTTTTTGTCATATCCATCAACATCACAGTAGTCTAAATGAGGACTTACCATTTCTTCAGCTACTTCCTAATTGACCTCCCTGTGCCCATTCTTGCCTCTCTCTAAATCATTCTTCTTGCTACATTAAAAAACACAGAGACATAATATTCTTCCACAATATTCTCTTGTTCTTATATACAAGTCTATATTCCTTTGCATCACCCAACCATTTCTTACATCTCCAAAATCTCTCAGGCACCATCCTTTTCCTCATTCTGAGCTTCTGCACTCCTTAACTTCAAGTCTAAAAAAATCTTGTCTCAAACTGTACATAAGTTATCCCCTCACTATAGAACACTGTTTTCCATCTTTCTTGACTGCCTGACTCTTTCTTCAGGTCTTCAGCTACTTCTATGGGAGAACTTTACCCCCTAGACAAAGCTGGATCTTCCCTTTACAAATCCATCACAATCGAAAACTCTGCTGAATGTGTGTGTGTATGTGTGTGTGTGTGTGTGTGTGTGTTTCCTGCTAGATGTAAACTATATGTGAACAGAAGCTGTATTTCTTTCATTAACTACCATTGACACCAGATGAGCATGATTGTTCAGCTAATGGGATGAATGAAAGAATAAATGGCCTGTCCAAATAGAAGTATTGAGCTATTTTATATAGAATGGGCTTCTGATAATAATCCTAGGAATTTTGTTCGTCGTAGTTCTTGCATTTACTTTCACACCTTGAGAGTTAGAACTGAAACCCTTTACTCAGACCAGGTGTCAAAACTGCCTGAAAGACAAGTAATTGCCTGAAATTTGATCAAGGCACCCAAATGTCTAGTAAAAAAGTGTGATACATGCCATAAAATCTATTGCTCTAGAACAAATTGATTTCTGTTTTCATAGAAAGGAAAGACAAAGAAAAAGAAGGGAACATTTGTTATCCACTGTGCCTTTCAGAAATAATTCTTGAACCATTTAACCAATCTTTATCCCTCAAAGCTCCAGTGAGTCACATAGCTGAAATGTTATGTTACAGCTGTTCTCAAAAATGTTTATGAACAACTATTCCAGAAGCAATTACCAGGACATAAAAATATGCACATCCCTGCAAAACATGGTACTAGCTTCTGAGACAACATTTGAGGCAAGCCAAGAGTAGCAACAGAAAATTTCATCTAAGCCTGCTCATCCAACCTACCAGACCCACAAACCTGGCCTAACACATCTACCCAACATGCAATTTGGACTGTGAAGGGTGGACATGATAGCAAGAGAAAGAATATAATAAAAGAGAAAGGGAAACAGAGGACTGGAGGAAAAGGAAGGCTTCAGAGCAATCATTACTTAGCTGAAGACTGGGGGTGGGAACAATGGTAAGAACTTCAAGGTTTTCCTTGACATTCTTGTTATCTTTCTTTCTCCAAAGTCCTACCTATAACTATCTGTTGGGAACTAACATGGTAGCATTTCCAGAGTGTGAAATAAAAGAGAAAATCTAAAGGCCAACATTACCTCAGATTCATCATAAAATCTTCATGGTTCCCTCTGTTCAAGTGTAGGTCAGTGGGGTAGACAAGAAAACTCACAAGCAGGATCATTAGGATCTCTATGGAATTGTTTCCTCGATCTACAAAATCACCATTAAAAATGTATGGATTGTTCTCTGAAGGGAGACCATTCTGTGAAGGAGGAGAGGGAGGAAAACAAGCAGTTAAAAGAATTTTTTTAAAAGTAAGGCTCTTTACAGTGCCCCTGATAATATGGAGAAGAAAGCACGTCCATTCTTTCAATGAGAAAAAAATTGCTCACTGGCTTGAACTTCTTTCAGGGCTATCTGAAAGGGACCTGCAACTGAGGAATTAGCTTGGGACAGGGAGATTCCAGGGAGGATGGGGATTGCTTATTCTACTCACCATATGTCATGAGTTTTCTCAGAAAGGAGCTAATATTCTCATCTTGTCCTTTTCCTTGAAAAGTGGGGATCTTTTTATCCAAAGATGAAGACTAAACTGGGGCTAGAGAACTGGCTCAGTGGTTAAGAGCACTGGCTACTCTTCCAGAGGACCCAGGTTCAATTCCCAGCACCCACATGACCGCTAATAACCGCCCATAACTCCAGTTCCAAGGGATGTAATACCCTCTTTTGACCTCCAAGGGCATTGCACGACACGGATATACTTACATACATGTAGGGATACAACTGTACACATAAAATAAAAAATAATAAACAAAATATTTTTAAAAAGAAGAAGACTAAACTAAGGGCCAGAGATCTTTCATTTTATATTTAATTTCTCTGAGTTGAAATTCTCTCAGTTTGACAAAGGGGTATGACACTATATCTCCTGCCAAATCACCATGATAATGCACATGGAAGAACTCAGGCAAGGGAAAGGTGCTACATGATGGAACTGTGAGCAGGCTTGATACACCAGTGGGCAGATACAACCACGCTTGGTGTTTCTAGCCAGCATATATTCTAGCTGATTGCTGACTAAGCCATATTAGTTGTCAGATATTTTGAATATCACTCCTGATTATGAGATAATATTTCATATATTCATTTGAGATAATTCTTTTTAAAACAGTGTTCATATGAAAAGGAACTGAGATCTAGGGAAAGGATTTAAAATAGCTATTAATTTGTTTATTCCTAAACTACAAAACTCTAAGATAAAACAAACAAAAGTAACAAAATTATATATTCTGAATGTCATACAAGTATACATAATTTGACATGTGGGTGCTTAGATTTTTCTCTTTGTAATACATTTAAATTCAATTGTTTTTAAATGTATTACAAAGAGAAAAATCTAAGCACCCACATGTCAAAAAATGTATTCCTTCAAAAATGTTACCTTCAGGAAAGAATACACATATTCTAGTTATTTAACATTTTTCTAACTATTTTCAAATTCTTCTTTTGTTAGATTTTGAACTACATAAGAAAATCTTAGTACTTTACATCCAGTGTTCTACCATTTATTGACATTTTAAGTAGTTTATATCAGTATAAAAAGTAATTTTCAAAATACAGCTTGTAACACATCACTTAGGGATTCCAAGCATGCTCTGAAGGTAAGTGGAGAACTAAGACGGCTAAACCTGCTCCACTTATTACCCAGGTATCTTTGAGAAAGTTATTTAGCCTTTTCTTCATCTGGAAGATGGGGGTGATAAATTTCCATAATGATCATGCACTCAAATTATGGAAATTGACTTATTAATGTTATTTGGAACTCAAATGACATTATGTATACAAAATTGCTTTAGAACTATAAATACAAATGAAGAGACTCATTTTATTATGATATCCATGCTATTTCTAATTTTAAGAGTGCATTATTTTACATTTTCTTACTATATTAATTCACATTGGGCTTAGATGATGCAAACTATTACAAAACCATAGGCCACAATCATCAAAACTTACAGCAAAGAAGAAGGATTTTGCATCTCTGATATTTTTCCTTTTCCCAGCCTTCAGCAGAATGGGATGAGTAGTTGGGAGGAGCGATAGAAGTACTAGAGGCTACAGAGTCTTCTGTGATATGCAGGCTCTGAAAGAGGCTAAAGGACCAGCAGCAGAGAGTCCTGGGGTCAAAACACGGAAGGACTAAGCCAAAGGGTACAGAAGGAATCCATGGACACCTTGACTAAAGGATGACTCTACCTTATATGGTAAGGGTGGTACTGGCTTAAAGGTGATGGAATGCTGGATTTTACTAGAAGTGTAGAAATTTTTTGTCTGCATAACAAAAGTCAAGGATCAAAGGATAACCTTATTTTGAAAAAATAATAGGAGAAACATAAAAGATAAAAAGTTTTGAAATTCATGGGAGGGGCTGGAGAGATGGCTCAGTGGTTAAGAACAAATACTGCACTTGCAGAGGACCCAAGTTTGGTTCCAATATGCACCTGTAATTCCAGCTCCAGGGGGATTCAACATCTCTGGCCTCCAAAAGCACCTGCACCCACATTTGCATACTGCCCCCCAGACCACACACATGCATACATATAGTTTTTCAATCTTTAAAAATTCATGGGATTAAAATACACTATGTAAATTTAAAGATTAATGAACTAATGATAAAGAATAATTGTGAAATATATGACTGGCCTGAAAGAGAAAACATAATAAAAAGCAAAACAGATAGAACTCATAAAGAATAAGTAGGAGTCAGGCATGGTAGTACATATCTATAATCCTAGCACTTGACTACATAGTGAGTTCAAGGCCAGCTTGAGTTACATGAGACTCTAACAAAATTTTTAAATTACATAAATAAAAAGTAAAAAAGAGAAGGAAGGAAGGAAGGGAGGGACGGAGGGAAGGACCAGAGTTCAAGGCCAAAAGACCAGACATGTCAATAATAAGCATTCTAGAATCAGGGACAAAAGAGAGAGAGAACAATTAATTACAAAAATACAAGTTGCCATGCATGGTGGTACATGCCTTTAATACCAGCACTTGGGGGCACAGGTAGATGATCTCTGTAAGTTAAAGACCAGCCTGGTATACATAGTAAGTTCCAGGCCACCCAGGGCTACAGGGAGATCATGTCTCAAAACACAAAATTAACAATAATAATAAATAAAAGTTATTTTCTATAGTTGAAAGGAGAATTCAGGGGGCTAGAGAGATGGCTCATTGGTTAAAAGCACTAGCTGCTCTTGCAGAAGAATGAAGTTCAATCCCTAGCACCCACATTGGGCAGCTTACAACTATCTGTTAACTCCAGCTTCAGGGGAGACAATGCCCTATTCTGGTCTTCAAAGATACCCACACTCACATGCACATACCCACCCACAGATACACATATATACAGATAATTAAAAATAAATCTTTAAAAGGAGATTTCAATCTGAAGTTTGAAATAGCCTAGTATTTCTAGGCATAACAAGAGAAAATTTTCATTACCCGGTAAAACTCTTAGAAGAGGCCAAACATAAAGAACAAGTTACAAAGGGAAAAGAATCAGCCTGGCATTACCCTTATCATTTACTGTAAAGGAAGGCAGAAGACGGTAAAATAAAATCTACAAATTAAAGGCAGACAACAATTCTGTATCGACAAAGACATCATTAACATCTCAGGGAAGCAGAAAAATATTTACAGGTGAGTAAGAGTTCAAGGTTCTTCAGGGTAGAAGAAAGATACATAGTGGGTCTATGCCACAAGAGCAATGAGAATGCATACATTGCTTATTACATACCAAGTACACACAGATTTAGGTGCAAGGAACAAACAAGTGGATAATCCAAAGCTCCTGTATTCAATGAGCTCATATTCAGAGGGATAGCACTCACATGTTCCACCGAGGAAAGCACACAACAAAATACTCTAATCCAATTACAATGATAATAGTTAAAATGCCTTCAAGCCAGGGAAAGGCCAAGAGGAAAGAATATAATTGTGAACAATGAAATTTGAAATATATAATTAAACATGAATCAAAATAAGAATACAAATTTTGCACTTAAGTACTAAGCAAGGATTCTAGAACTAGAAGAGGAAATGATTTAAAATTACAAAAATAGTAAATTATTCAGGGTTGAACATAAATTAACAATGGTAAAGATCTGAAAGTCATGGGGGAGATATAGAATGCGAGCTTAGCATGCATGATGTAGAATGTTAGCCTAATATGCATAAAGTCCTCGGTTCAATCCCCAGCACCACATAAAAATGAGTGTGATGGCACATACCTGTAATCTCAGCACTAGAGAGGTAGAGATAGGAAAATCAGACATTCAATGCCATCTTCAACTACATAGAGAGTTTAATGCCAGCAGCCTAAGGCACAGTACATGAGACCTGGTCTCAACAAAAACAAAAAAGGCTTAAGAAACGGCTAGGATTTAGAAAAGGGGGGGGGGGCTGGAGAGATGGCTCAGCGGTTAAGAGCACTGACTGCTCTTGCAGAGGACCTGGGTTCAATTCCCAGCACCCACATGGCAGCTACAAACTGTCCTTAACTCCAGTTCCAGGGGAATCCGAAGCCCTCTTCTGATCTCCGCGGCATTGCACGACACGGGTACACTCACATACATGCAGGCAAAACACTCATACACATAAGATTAAAAAAATAAAAATTAAAAAAAGAAAGAAAAAGTGTATGAAAGAAAGCAGAGTGTTCTACAAATCTTACATGCTTGTGCAATATGGAAAGTATGAAAATGAAGTTATCTTATTGAGTGCAAGAGACTTGTGGCATAAAAATAAACATAATTATTTGAGAAATGCACATACTTGATTAGAAATATCAAAAATGGAAAGGTAAAGTACATGGAAAATAGAAAAAAATTTCACATAAAACTAAAAATTAAATTTAAAAGTCCAAATTTAAAAACAATCTAAAAGAAAACCACCCAAAACAGCAAAAACAAGAAGCTAAACAAAGTAAAATAAATGATAAAGGAAAGAAAGAAAGTTTTCAGACATACCTGTTGATATACTAAATGTACTGTAAATGTGTTAAATTTCCCCATGAAAACACTGAAGATGTGTTAAAACACAAAACTCAGGCATACATTGCTTTTGAAAAATATATATGAAAAAATGTAGGTTAGAGAATATTAAAGCAGGTAATTCCAACAAAGAGAAAAATAATAATGTTTAAAAATACAAAGGTAGCAAATGATTCAGATGGAATTATTGGTTGAAAATAATGTCTAT